ACGTAGGTGTGCAGAGATGAGTTGTGAGAGGTGTGCACTAGGAAGGGGGGCATGGGGCCCAGATCAGCTGCCCTGCGGGCTTTGCAGGGCTTTCTCTGGGACACAGGGCTTTCCATCCTAAAACCAGTTTTCCTGGCAAACCCTAAAGAAGCCACAAGAAGCCACTGCAGGTTCTAAGCAGGGGAACGACCTATAGGATCAAATCATGTTTCTGAAAGATCACTAGTAGGGGGAAGGGGAAAGCAGGAGGCCCGGTTCGAAGGCTGTGGATGTAACGCAGGCTTAAAGGAACGCATTAACTCCCCCACAGAGCCCGCGAGTTACCTGGAATCCTCACTTTACTGAAGAGGAGACCTGCCAGAGGTCACGCAGCTGGACAGTGGCAGAGTCTGGATTCTCTCCCCCCTTTTCAGCTCCAGGCCCAGACGTCTTCCCCACGCCAGAAGCCACACGTACAGCCTGGTCCGCAGGCCCTCCCTGCGCTCACCACTGTCTTGTAAAATAGGGAAGCACACTGACTCGCCCTGACTTGGCAGCCCAGGGAGCTTAGGCTCACAAAAGCTGAGTTCCCCAAAGTGGCAGAGTAGTTGTCAAACAACTCATTTGATCCCACAGCAGTTACCAGGAGAATGAAGAAGCTAGACAAGCGCACAGATCACCATGACTGATCAGAGAGCCCCGCTCCTGCTGCACTGGGGAGAAGCAGGCCCACACAACTCAGTCACCAAAAACCCCTCACTGCTGAGTCCCACCCGGGGGCGTCAGAGGGTGAACCAGAAGCCTCTTTCTGCTGAGGAGCTGAATTGGAACAAAGTGCTGCGAGCCCCCCCTCCTTGGGCCTTCTGGGCCAAATCGTCCTGCCTCGGGCTCCACATCCTGGGAGTCGGCCCTCTGTAACCGTCTCAGTCTTGTGAACAAAAAGAAAGAAAACGAAAGAAACTGTTACTTTTCCAGCTGATGTGGGAAAGAGGAACACAGGTAACAAGAAAACCTAGAGCGCCAAGGCCTGGGTGACACCATGCTAAGGAGACGGTTATTTTAAAGGCAACCGGAATTGGTGTTCCTTTAAGAACTACCAGTCACTGAAGTCGCAGAGCTCAGGGCAATGGACGGTTTTCTTTAGTCAGCTATTCTTTTGCAAATAGCCATTGTCCAGACTGCCACTGGCCAGTCCTTTAATGAGATCAAAGACTTAAGTACGCCATGACACTAAAGGTCCTCAATTAATGGTCATTTTTTCCTGAATAGAAATAACGTAGGGCTTGCTATTTTATGATTTTTTTCTCTTTTTTTGTGGGGAGTCTAATAAATAGACTTTCTCCGCAGTCTAAGACCGAGGGCCTGGCTCCCGGTGTGTGCCAGTATTTAACTCAACAACAGCACCGTGGGGACAGAGAGCTGGCAGCCTGCTGCGTGGACAGGGAGACGTTCAAGCTGTGTTGCTGGAGCACGTGCGAGAAAAGGAACACTGGCGTCTCCTGCAGGGAGACTTCAGTCTTCTACAGACGGGTAATAAAATAAGCTCTCTCTTTCTTTTAAATCAGTTTGTCAAACTTAGGACTATATGTATAGAGTTTTCGTATTGACAAATAAAGGAAATTTGAAAATTAAATTTCTGAAATAAAAAACAAAATTATTTGGGGAGATGGGAATTCTTTGCAGTTTCTTTTAGCTGTCACACACACACACACACACACACACACACACACACACACACACACACACACACACACACACACACACACAGAGAATATTCTTCCAATTACCCCACAGTGTCATAAGGCATTTGGACAGAAGGGGTCCTAGAGGCCGTGTGACCTAATGTCCTTGCTTTACTGTTGAGGAACCTGACGTCAGAGGGCAAAGGGCCTTGCCCAGAGTCAACACAGGTCAGAAGCAGAATGTGAATCCATGTCTCCAGGGGTCAAGCTTGAAGGGTGGTGCTGCACCCTCACGTTGCTCTAAGAGTAAGCCACACCACAACCACAAAGTTGCAGCAACAGGATTCCTAAAGGAGACGGTCTCTTGCCCCGGTCCAGTAGACTAGTAGAACAGAAGTTTCTGCAGCGATGGAAATGTTGTTTCCGCCCTATCCAGTGCAGTAGCCAGGAACCACATACGGCTACTGAGCACTTGAGACGTGGCCAGTGCGTCTGAGGCACTGACCTTCTCACCTTACTTAAATTTATGTAACCACGTGTGTGGCTCCTGGTTACTGTACTGGTTAGCACAGCTCCAGAGATGGCAAGTTGCTGGAGGTCAGAGGCCGCGTCTTATTCATTTGGTCTCTGGTATAGCATTTCCCTGTGAAAGAGGAACTGAATTAATTTAATTTTAGAAGTCCTGAATGCCGCAAGAAATATAGCTTCACTACGGTGTGTTTTGAACATAATCGTATGCACCCCGGATTCAGATGATAAACTAGGAGAAACTAGTGGAAAGTGAATTTTTGTTATAAAGTTAATGAGATTATAACTCCTATTGAAGCAAGAAAACTAATAAAAACAAATACTTTTTAATAATGTGACTTTCCGAGCAAGGCAGCTGTTTTCTCTGAACTCTCCTTTCGTGTCTTAACGGGAGATCTAAGCGCTGGTGTTTTCAGGGACATTGCTGAGGCCTGCGGTGACGTGGGCCCCAGCCTGGCTGTTTCATCAGGCGGCTGATTCACAGTCACGTTTCCTGCTGCATCCCCCTAGATTGGCACCATGCTACTCTTTGGAAAAACAAAATTGAAAAGGCTCTCAAACATTCATTTCTGCCTGGAATCATGTGATCTGCTTTCAAGGTTGAGTTATCATCCCCCAGTTGGAAAGGGGTAGTGTTTGAACGCCATCTCTACTCTGCTACTTCCTAACTGTGGCCTCTGTTTTCCTGTCTGCAAAATGGAGATATGCCTCCCTCGTAGGTATGTTCTAAGGATCACAGGAACACATTTGGGAAGGGCCAGCCAGTGCCTCTTGGTAAGAATAAAAGCTGAAGATTACTGAAGTTTTACTGTGTCCCCAAAACTGGTCCAAAGCTTTGCTTGTATTAATCCCTTGAATTCTCACCACCACTTTACGATTATCACTCCAAGCTCTCCTGTGAGGCATAATGAGGTAAAATTCCTCTGGAGTGAGCTGGTATCTTAACCATGTAGGGTGCTAAACTATTTCACAAATAACAAGGACTTGATGAATAGCATTTTTATTACTGTTTTTGCAAAACATCTTGAAAGTCAAAAAAGTCTAGTGGCTTTTAAGCCCCTGCCGGGTTACCTTTCATTCATCATAGTTATTTGTCTGGGGAGGAAGGCAGTTATTTTTTTAAAAGAATGCAGCTGGGAGCACAACCCATCCCCAGCTGATCTACAGCACCTCATCTGGTTAGAACAATGCTATGGACAGAAGCCAAAGCCCCACGTCCACCTGGGCAGGGGGCAGGGGGGCAATGGGGTGGGTCCTATCCCACTGGTGTTCACTAGCTTCAGCCATCAGGTGAAAGTCGGACAACTCTACTCAGAGGAAGATCTGATGAAGCTAATCCGGAGCGTCATCCTCACCAAATCTTCCAGGTCAAGGCAGAGCAACTGTGGACGCTGCTTTGGACATGAGTCAGAAGTCCCCGGGTCATCCCCTGAGGTGTGAGTCACAAGGCACCCTGGCATTCTCATGTGGAGGCCACCTGCCTCACAGCAAGGGGCCTCGTTCCCTACTGGTACTTGCTTTGGTCCCCGAAGAGCTTGGCTAATGAGCATGTATATTCATGTGAGTGTGAGCGTGAATGTATATGAGAGGCAACGATGAATGACTAACCTTTAAGCAAAGCAA